ATTAAACGTGAAGTGGCATTATTTAATAATTAGATTTCTACTAGTATAAATGCAAATTTACTGACACTGTTATAAATTTCTAACGTTCGGAAAACCTCTTTTTACTGGTTTTTTTATTAAATGTCACTTTATTAGTACTTTCTAATAATGTGAGACTGAATGGTTGTGTATCAAGATGCTTAACACGTTGACCGCCGCGTCAGCCATCAGTGGCTGACACTGGACTTTCCATTTAGGCCGCGTCTGCCACCGGTGGCTGACACTGAAATTACATTTAGGCTGCGTCTGCCACCGGTGTCTGACACTGAAATTACATTTAGGCCGCGTCAACCACCGGTGGCTGACACTGAAATTACATTTAGGCTGCGTCTGCCGCCGCCAGCTGACACTGAAATTACATTTAGGCTGCGTCTGCCACCGCTTGCTGACACTGAAATTACATTTAGGCTGCGACTGCCGCCGCCAGCTGACACTGAAATTACATTTAGGCTGCGTCTGCCACCGCTTGCTGACACTGACCTTTCTCATAGGCCGCGAAAAACAGCTGGTAAAACAGTATAACATGATATAGAACTATAAAGCTTACACTCTTTTATGGAATTGCAGAAAATTTATTCAAAATTTACTTAATTATTGTGATTCTTAGTTTAATATATTCAATTTAGTAGATTTTTATCAACCAGTATTTTTAAGCGATTCGTAGGCATGTATAATTCACCACCAATTTCAGAGAAGTCGTTCTAAACCTTTTATAAACTAGCAAAATCTGTCTTCGTTTGCGAATTTAGTTTGTTGTTATTTACGAATGTTCAGTCGGATAGATGTCTGGAGATTACTGGGGCTAACACAGCACTTCGTCTACCAATTATTTACAATACCGCTTTCAGCATGTATTTTCCTGTACAAACAAAGTACCTCACGTGATTGGGATAACTCACCATCGTAATTGAATGTACTTGGTAGAGGTATATCTAATTCAAAGTACCATTCACTAGCGATAAAATCCAGGAAACATGCTGGCACTACACTAAACTCTCTAGTGGCAACATTGTAACGCTATAACTCATTTGCACAACACTGTCCACTGGCCTAAATAAGGCGACCGCTCAGTTTTTTCGTCCTCTGATTTTTGATCTAATGAATTTGATTATGACATGTATGTAAGTGTAGGGTTAAAATTATCTAGTATGTTAAGCTTTATTTATAGATAATATATTCAACCTAAATTTCATGCAAAAATGTTTTATATACTACATAATTAGTATTTGTTATTTGTAGTGGTAGTTACGCTGCATTACTCCCCTTCCAGAATTTCATTTTGATAGAATTCGATGAACGAATACCACTAGCATACCTGCCAACTTTTAATCCCTTCCATTATTAATCTTCCCAGTGGTATTAAAATGCAATTAAAACTTCAATTTTAAGCAAACAAATACGTTGTATTTGAGAAAACTTAAGTTAACAACCATAACTAACTAACTAATCAACTTTTTTCAGAGTACCTATCCATGTATGGATATCTGCTCTTTCATCTAAATTGGATAATATGTGGTGGAAGGGAAGGGAGGGGCTGCGTTAACATTAAGTTAAATCTCAGAATAAACAATAATTGATAAAATCAAGTCTGAGTCATACATAAAAATAAGTCGCAAGTTGATACATAATATAGGGAACAAATTGAAGATAAAGATAAAGAAAGAATATTTACACTATAACAACCATTCCTAGTCCTAGTGTTTAGATTTCACTGGGCACCTGGGCCGCGAAGCGGCCCCTATCCCATTCATCTGGAATTTTTGAACAGTTTTGGTTGAGCAATGAGGTAAGCAGGCAATGGAGTTGCTTTTATGAATAACAACCATTATAGTAACGCATATTAATATATGTGCTTAATTTTTGTAAGAATAGTGGTGATCAAAATCATATTAAAATTAAGTTTATAAAAGAAAAAATAGTATATACTTACTACCACTTTAAATATGAAAATAAAATCTTCCGGAAAATCCGGAAAAGTTGGCAGGTATGAGTTGATTAATACTGTTTATTTATTTTTTGCTTTAATTTTTTCTTATTCCGTTCTTTCTTTTTTTTTTTTGTTATAAACCGGGAGAATTGTATTTATTTCTGATTTTTATATACAATTCCGGGAGAATTGTATATATAATTTTACAGAGGTCGAATCCAAGTGATGGCTGGTCGATACAAATTTCGCATTCGGTTTACACCGATCCCCAGTGGTAGACGGATCATGGGTAAGAGTCTCCTTGCCGTTAGGCTAACCGTGTTAGGTTCTCGCGGTTTTTCTTTACATGGCTGGTTAGTTCCATCAAAATGTCCTCCACTAAGGCAAATTTCTCTTAATACTTGATCCAGGAGTTCCCTTGTCTTCTGGATTGGGTTCAGAAGGCTACAGAATTGAACATTAGTAGTCGTAAATCCAAAATAGGGTCAGCTGTTCAATGACAATTATAAAATAAAATTTAGATCGTATTCATCGTGCTACTGTCAGACTTCTATGCATACAATAAATTCCGAAACAATTCTGTTACATTAAACATACCCATAATATATTTGTGCGACCACTTTATGTTATTTTTCCTGATTAATAAATACCGCTGAAAATTTCACTTTGCCTGCTTCATCCACAGAGTCAATTGTGTTATGCATATTTATTTCAAACGGAATGAATTTAAAACAGAAACAAATTGTTACCTGTTTGCATATTTTCTAAAAACATGGAAATATTTAAAAGTATTTTTAACCTTTTCGTCACGGCAGTCCCCGCTACTGAAGTGTATAAAATTTAGATAATATTCATCGTGTAACTACACGGCTCAAAAAAATTAGGGGAGCAAATGGCTCCCCTAATTTTTTTGAGCAGTGTATATCATAATAACATCGTGTGACTAAAGGACAAATTGAACTATGAACCGCACCACGAAGTGTGCAGTGTGCTGCACATAGCATGCTGGTAAACAGACATTCAGATTCTCTTAGTTAAGTGTTACTTTGCAATACCTTTGAAGACTTGGCAAGTATTATAAATAATAATGTAATCGAAGCGCATTCAAAATATACTTTTAACACTATGCGGTCCGCATATATTTAGTGATAAGTTTACCATGTAACCGGTTCCGTGTAACTTGCTTGTAAAATAGTATTTTCTAGTGGTAGCGAAATTTAAGTTACTTTTCGTTTAGTATTTTTCATTATAAGTAATTTTTTCACCACTAAATATCAAAAATTATAAGAATGATATAAAATGCAACGGTAAAGCATCAAACTACTGGTTACTATATTAAAAAGAAAGCGTAACTATCTTTCTTTAACGACTTTTACTATATAATTTGCTACCACTTTATTAAAACTATTCCAGAAAGCGGAGCAGTTGGCATCCCTGTACTCTATTGTCCCTTGACAAAATGTCACATGAATATCAGGTTGCAAAGCGCGACATCTATGTGTTGTCACCGGCCACTAACGCTTGGCTTGGACATGACACCAACGTGTTGTCACCGGCTGTTAGTGTATGGCTTGCGTATGGCACCAACGTGTTGTCACCGGCAGCTAACGTTTGGTTTTCACGTGACAACACGTTGGTGTCACCGGACATGAAAGTGTTAATGGTATTTATCTTATATAGATTAACACGCTCACGCCGGGGTGACCCACCGGTGGGTCACGCTAGATTGTCTCATCTTGGCAGCGCACCGGAGTAAAAACTGGTAACAATAAATTTAATTTTTTACTTTTTTTCCGGGAATAATAAAAATCCATAACTACCCATTGTTTTTAACGGATGCAATTTTTATATTGAATTGCTTCTTCGTCGTGATAAATCTCCTTTCAGTGAATTGTTATTGTTGAGAACAGATTAACTCCTCCCGAGTATTATCTAATATTGAAATAGTTTTTCTACTAGTATTTTCACTTTTCCCGGCGTGAACGTGTTAATTAAAATTGGACTGGCATACCTGCCAACACTTCCGAATTTTCCGGAAGATTTTATTTTCATATTTAAAGTGGTAGTAATTATATACTATTTTTTCTTTTATAAAATTAATTTTTAAATGATTTTGATCACCACTATTCTTACAAAAATTAAGCACATATATTAATNTTCAAAATGTTATTACTTTAAACTTATGTAAATTTCTAGATGTATGGGATAGGGGCCGCTGCGCGGCCCAGGTGCCCAATTTTTTATAAATAAAGTAAGTAAGTAATAATATTCGTCGTTCTTTATAAAATAAAAATTGTCTCATCATTATTATTAAAAAATTTTAATTTTTTTATTGCGAAAAAAGTATGGGTAACTTCACTTTAAAATTTAATATTAAAAACTCTAGATTTCAAAAAATAACTATAATCTCTTTCCAACTATTCAATAAAATTGGTAGTAATACTTAGTAGGTGATACCACATCGAAGAGACAATCACTTTTTATGAATATCAATAAAATATTTTTATCTATTTACAATTGGTACTAAGATATTTCGGCTTAAATACATCTTTACAAAATATATTTTTTACAAGTACTATAATTAACTTCATGCATCACGTGCGGTACAAAACCGCGAAATCACTTTAATAAACGTAATTGAATATAAAAGAAACGAATGTAAATAAGTATTAAAACTATTCTTTTATATTGAATATAAAAGAATACTATGTTCTCCACGAAGTGTGCAGTGTGGTGCACATAATATGCCGGCAAACAGACGTTCGGATTCTCTTATTTAAGCGTTACTTTGCAATACTTTTGAAGACTTGGTAAGTATTATAAATAATAATGTAATCGAAGCGCATTCAAAATATACTTTTAATGGTATTTATCTTATATAGGTTAATTGAAATTGGGCAGGTTATCAAACGCCAGCTAAATACAGCTCTCGTAACGAGAAGGTTAATTATTTAAAAATTAGGCTTTTATGAGTCTTGAAAAGATGAAACAAAGACTGTTTTTTTAATGAAATTTTTGAAAGATGCTAACATACCTGACTGCATCGTGAAGATGATGAAGGAACTTGTCATGATCCAAGTAGCATCATCCCAAGATATGTTCTTGAAGTTCACATCTTCGGGTGGAATAGGCACTAAAGGACTAGATGCATTCGGCATTTTCGATTTTTGATATAAATGTCCACAGAGAAAAAAAAAATTCTAGCTTATTCAAAACCAAACACAGAAAGTTGATATGAATTGTACCCTCACAAAATATAGGGTCAATCGACTTGGTGGAGCAACTTTCACAAAAAATCTTATATCGAAGCCCTTTAGTCACAGAATAATTGATTTGCGCAGAGCAAATTTCACAAACGATTCGAAATCGAAGTTTTTTTTCCACAGAACTTTATTAAAATATTAATTTCTGACTCATAAAAATACTGTATCTGGTGATGTCAAATACTTGAGCACTACCTAACTGGATAAAAATAGCACCGTATGTTCATAAACAAAATTAGTTGAAAGTTCGAAATCATCACAGAAATATTCATAATAAGCTTCTTAAATAATGTATATATTACACGCTCTAGCAGTGTATAATATAAAAAAATATATCGGTTTTTAGTTCGGCCAGCTTGAATAAACTCGTTTAAAGAGTTCGGTTAACTTTAAAAATGCGAGTATAGTTTCAAATAAGTAAAATATCAAGATCATACTAGCACAGATGAGATAAACTATTACATAAATATAAACAATCAGTTTATGCAAATGCAGCTATCAAATATTGTATACGTTTTTATCACATGTATGTAATTTAAAACGTATGCTCGTAAAGTTAATTTCAGTCCTTAATTATATTCCTTAACCTTTACTTTAGGGCAAGTATATATCTGTTCTATACAAATTACAGTTTTAAGAATTTATTTCTAAATCTAAATATCACGCTTACTAAAAAAAAAGTTACTTACTTTTACTTATCACTAATCAATTCAAAGCTAAAATATCTAAATTTTCTATTGTTTAAAATTTGGAAAGTAATTGAATGATAATAAGCGTCGAATTTATTCACAATTTTTACAATTTAATCCCTATTATTTTATCAAATTCATTTACTATTCGTATTTAAATTACTTTTTTATATAAGATGCATGTTGCAAATGTAACTTTATTTTCAAAAGTTTATTATACTGACAATAAGCTGTCTATCCGTAGTAGATTGCTCTAATAGTTTAAATACTCATTCGATAAGATAAAATAAAAAAATAGTTCTAATTTTAAATTATTTTCTGAAAATATGATCAGAAAACTAAGGAATTCTTTTAAAAAATAAAAATATTTAAGAGAGAGTTTTTCGATTATAAGTTAGTAAATGATTTTTCAAAATGAATTTTTACAAGAAATTTAAGAAAAGTTTGTAATAAATTTTTAAGTTATTTTTAGATTTATTGTTAAACAATATGGTAGAACAATATCAGTTTTATAACAAAATTGCAAACGCAAATAAAATTTGAAATTACGGGAATTTTATCATGATAAGTTTCCTTTACACTGTTTTTAAGCAATATGCCTATTTAGAAAGCCAATTAATTATTAATCAAAAATCTTTTTTCTAACCGACAATTAATGTCAAAAGCACCAACCAAATAAATTTTATGAACACTTGAAAAAATTTAGTCTTTCAGTCCCTTTTTTTCTCAAAACTATATTTTTTTCTTCTACACTATTCCAAAAGCACTTAATTTATATTCCAATATTGAATAATAGTTACTAAATATCCGAAAGAAGTAGCTCAACAATAACAGCAATAAAGAGAATCACTCATGAAAAACATTCGTCCAAAATATTCCAGGAGAATAAACCCTCGAAAGAAATTTCTTCTATCTTATCCGGAAAACAACTTTCATATAATCCGGGAAAATAAATGCAACACGTAGAACTATGTTCCCAAATCTTTAAAACTGTTTTGCTTGGAACAAAATTGGCAAGACGAGCCCCCACATATCCAGACGATACAAGCCAATAAGAGAGCTTCGCTTAAGTGACGTCACGTCAGGCTTTATTAACATCCGTTAGAAATGTCCGGACACTCTCAATCAAGAAGTCGCGACTAGTCAGGAAAAATTTCCTCTTTTTCTCGGTGGGAATCCGGTTTCCTGGGGATTTGTTTTTTAAATCCCAGCCGATTCACAGAATAAAATTTGTAACGGCAACACAGATGACGTGGAAAGTTGACATTTAATAAAAACGGCGTATTCCAGCGTGTAAAATATCCTTTTTGAGACATTTCTACATCAAACATTAAATTCTTGATTATAGTGTAAACGGGTCACTTAAAAATACGTTTTTGGAAACGCAAAATGTTATTTATGCGTTCATACAACAGTTTAAAAAATGGCTACAAAACCAATCATTTTATCTCTGTTTTTCTAAACAATTCATTACTCATTTGTCACACTACCAATGATAAATTTTTTACCTGTGTAATAGTTGTAGGGCTATTCCACCAAAAGCGGTCCTGAGTGACTAAATAGTCAAAATTATCAATAAATTAAAAATTAAGGAATTTTGAAATCTAAAAAATTTACATTTTCTGATAGTTAAGATGTTTTTGAAATTATAAAAAATATTTAATAAAACTCTAACAGAAGGTGAAACGCACTAAACTTTAACAAGGGTTCTATACATAGCTATGTTATATTCCCATGTGGTTCCTAATATATTGAATAATATACTTCTTAATGTATGAAGTAGTTCTTAGTATTATATATATATAACGATTTGATCTTCTTTATACATTTTTTGTAATTTGGCGTATGTATATTTTTTGACTGATTAAAAGTTGTTAATAGAGATAATCTGATCTCTTAGTAGCACAAGTAGCATTTTACATTTTTTTCTATAAAAACTTTAGAAAAATGGAACATTTGAAGAAATTTTGTTTTATAAATTAGAAAGGCAGGATATTCAACCTAAAAAGTTCTCAAATGAAAAGTGCCAATAATAATTATTTGAAAATTAATTTTATTCAAGGTAACACACATAACAAATAACTACTTTACGTTTGTTTACACTTCATTGCTTTTACACTTTATTACATAGGTAATTTTTTTTCGAATAAAGAATTGGAATTTATGTCCGCATTTCGAATTGAACAATTTCATCGATAAATTCAAGAACAAAATCACTACTAAAGAATTTCATGATTCGAAAAAAATCAGATTGGCAAAAGCATTAATAAAAAAAAGTAGCATAATAACATTGAACAAAAAAGGAAACTATAATTTTGGAACGTCTTGGAATTGATTATTTTCCCTAACTTCTACTATCGTAATTTAGCAAACACGAGGAGAAATTCCAATTGTCGCTTATTTAAAAAAAAAAATATGGCGATTGTGCAGGAAAATTATTATTATCATTAGGCTCATTTTCAAGAACACATAAGGGTTAAAAGAATCCAAGCTATAACTTTCCAGAAAGACATATCTAATAGTAAAACCCGTTCATATTGACTTTGCAATGGCATATTCTTCTGAATATCAGAACAAAGTTCAATCGGCATTATGGTCTCGAGCCTCTGTTCAATTCTTCATAGCAGCTGTTTTGTTAGACGGTAATTGTACATCATTTGCATTATTCTCTTGTATTTATTACTGAGCCCTGTCCCGCCCCCACCAAGGGGCATCCAGGGGGTACTGATAGATTACAAACATAACACAAAAAACTGTGCAAAGCACAGCATGAATTACCTCTTGAAAAAACATTTAAGAAGTTGAAAAGTAAACATATGAATTGGGAGTACCGATTCCAAGAAGGTTACATGTGGTAAGTCCAGCATACACAGATGGAAAGATGTGCAAATCACATAAATATTCCCCTATGATGACAGCCACCAGATCTCGAGAAATCACAAACGAAGAGAAGGTTTTACAGATGAAATATACAGACGATGGTTATTACAAACTATTTGGCATCATACATAGGCATCATACAACGTCATCGTCAACATCAGCAACCAATTTCCAATAGCAATTTACAGACTGTAATTTACAGATGAAAAAAAGTTCGATCACATTAACAGTCGTTGGTAGAGGTTACAGTTAGTCATGAATATTTACAGATGGATAGAAATTCAATCCACAAAGATGTTTGGGGTGGATGTAATTAATAACTGTGATAACACCTACAGATAAACATGTCACATCAATGGTAAAAATTTATAGTAATTATCAAATGAAAAATTACAGATGAACAACTAATTTCCAATAGCAATATGCAGACAATAATTTACAGATGAATGGAAGTTGGATCATATTAACAGTCGTAGGTAGAGGTTACCGTTAGTCAGAAATATTTACAGATGAATAGAAATTCAATCCACAAAGATGTCTGGAGTGGATGTAATTAATAGCAGTGATGACACCTACAGATAAACATGTCACATCATTGGTATAAATTTATAGTAATTAACAGGTGAAATGTTACAGATGAAGTGAAGTTCAATTATAAAAACAATCGTATGTTAAAGTAACAGTGAATCATGAATATTTACAGATGAAAAGAACTCGATTCACAAAGACATTTGAAGTGGATGCAATTAGTAGCAATGAGAGTACCTGCGGATATACCTGTCACATGAAAGATATAGTTGTGTCACCATTCCCAGAAATCAAATACATTCTAGTCAAAGGATTCAGGTAGATTTAGTTCAAAATGTCTTTTTATGATAAGTTCGATTTCCATGCTGATTTTTGGGATCGTCCAGAGATTTTTGACAGTTTCTATAGTCGTATTAGATGGAAAATATAAAGATCGCAGATCTTGAAAAATTGGGCATGCTCATAGTATGTGCTCCAAGTCCTCCAAGCACCTGCAGTTCTGGCATTGATCGGTTCTGTTGTGAAATCGTGATTGGTACGTGCCCTGGGTTCCGTGGTTTGTAAGACATTGGTTCAGGTAAAAATTTGGATATATTTTCCTATGGTTAACTTTTTTAATGAATTCATGAGTATGTCGTCCCTTATTAGTGTTATCCCATTGATTTTGCCAAAGTTGTAATTTTTGTTTAAAAATTTCTGTTTTTATTGTATTTTTAGGTTTGATATCACTTAAATCAATATGTTGTTTTTCGCAAGCTGATTTGGCCAGGCTGTCAGCCTCCTCGTTACCACGAAAACCCACATGGGCCTTAATCCAAAATAAAGAAATATTATCGTTGATGTTGTCCTTAATCATGCTGGTCAAGAATTCCCTCTCCTCCGGATTACAGAGAGCCTGCAGCCCGGAAAGGGAGTCCGAAAAAATGTTAACCGGACTAGTTATATTATTGTCGTTAACCC